TATCTGCGACGGCCACACACACACTACAAAACCAAGCATGATGGCACGCATGGGCATTCAAAGTGTGTACTATGTGAACCCAGTCCCCCACCATGTGGATTCTGCTCACTTTGGTGGGGCCCCACCGACATTGCAGAACACAATATGTTCAGACCGCTGAAACTCCTCGGCCGTAGCCAACGTTGCTGAACCGAGGCATTGAAGACATTTCCTCTGGCACTTGGCCTAGCGGTGTTGGGATGGCAGGGGAGAGACAGCACGTTATGTGGGCTCTCTGGGGGACTTCGGACTGACCATCGCGACCGCCGAAAATTACCATTTAGAGGCAACGTAGTGGCCGCTTAGCGGCCTGTAGCGGCCGTTTAGTGGCACCTAGCGGCATTTCGCAGCCTTTAGCGGCCCCGGAAACTACCATTTAGTGGCACCTAGCGGCCGCTACTGGCTCCGAGAATGACCATTTAGAGGCACTCAGTGGTCGCCAGCGGCTCCGAGAATTACCCTTTAGCGGCACCTGGTGGCCGTTCGAGGCCCCGAGAACTAAAATATACCACTCAGCGGCACTTCGTAGCCCGAGATCTACCATTTAGTGGCCCTAAGTGGCCGCTAGTGGCTCCGAACATCACCACGCAGTGGCACTTAGTGGCCGCTAGTGGTTCCGAGAATTACTCCAGATTTCGTAATAGAAGGGAGGGAGTCTGGACCCTCCAAGACAAGCCATTTCAGACCCCCCCCCACCCGTGGGAGAACCCTCCAAAACATCGTCCCCAGACCCCCGCAGGCCCTCCGAGATAGCTTGGAAGAGACCCCCCCCGAAATGAGACCCCCCTCCCTTTATTACGAAATCTGAAGTACCATCCAGCGGCACGTAGCGGCCGTGCAGCCCCATCTGGGCCACGGGCATGCCAGTCAGACTCGGGACTGCCGACCTCCGTAAGCTCTCGCGCCGCCAAATGCCGCCAAGTGCCACTATCTCCCCAAAAAACCCAATTCGAAGACGTGCTGCAGTTCCCCAAGTTGGCCACACAAAGCACGCGCGCCAGGCAAAAGGCGAAAGGTAGGAGGGGAAGGGGCCTCACGAGCCTTCCGCTTTTAACAGGCTCACCGCTCAGTCGCACAGGCAATGTCACGGCAAACTGCAGACAATATCACTCATACAAGGTGCGCTCTTCAACCATGCGGCAAAACTGCCGACTCGATGGCGTCAGGCAGGCGGGCCATCTCGGCGGCGAGGCCAGCAAATTCTCGTGCCAGAAGACTGCCGGCGGCCACCCGCCAGCGGACCGAAGACGGCAGCGCTGATGTCCACCACGGGAAAGACCTTCTCAGCGCGGACGACCGCCACGCCCGCGCGCCGCGGCCGCGCGCCCGCCGAGCGCACTCCCCCGCCGGCGTCGCCGTGCGCCTGGGCGCGTTCGGAGCAGGCGCCGCCCCCGAAGGCGCCGGAAACCATCTCGCCGGCACTCGCGCCCCCGGCCCCCAATCCCGCCAGGGGCGCTGGCACTGCCAGCCAATTTGACGGCGCCAGCCCACGCAGCAAGAAGCACCCTGCTGCGCTGACCCGGGCAAACGCGTGCATCGCCAGGCTGTCGGAAGCCGCGCAACGCAAAGCTCCGACACCCCCGGGGCACTTCCACGATCCATGGAAGACCGATCCCTCCTTCGCTTCACGTATGTCGCATACTCCCAAGCCTGCGTAGCTCTTCAGAAACTGTTCTTTGTGCTGCTGCGTCCGAGGGCCACGAGCAACTCTGCGAACCGCGTTCCGCGCTGCAGTTGGCTCAGTTGCCGAAGCAGTGACCAACGCGGTTCGTTGCCAACCCCCTGTCCCACGCCACCCCCAACATTGCGAAAGCAAGACGTTCGGGCGCCACGTCGCCGAGCGACGGCACGGGTGGCAGCGCGGCGCCAGAATAGGCGCGCAAGCACACCGGTCGGACCGAGCAGCACGCAACCAAAAACTGCAGAGAAGGAGGGCGGGCTCGGACCCCGCAAGCTCCAGCCAAGGGGGGGGGGGCCAGAACGAGCCACCGGGCACCCACGCCCGACAGAGCAAGGCGAAGAGCGCCGAGGCCTCTGCCCAAACCCCCGCAGCCGCACGGCCCCGCTGGCCGGGTTCGGCCGAGCGCTCGACGCCGGGCCAGAAAATGGCACGAGCCGAGGCCGCGAGTGCCAGCGCAGATGCCGGCGGGGACCTGCCTACCTACCAGACCACCCCAACCCAACCCGAAGACCCGAATTTCGGGTTGGGGGGGGGAAGGGTTCCACATGTGTTTTTTCGATGTTTCCCGACCCCCCCACCCACTGGAAATCGAGGGTACATCTGAGCCTTCGGGTTGGGTTGGGGTGGTTTGGTGGGTGGTGAGGACCTGCCACTCCCCCGCCGCGCTGGCGCGCGAGGCGCGAGACCGCGCGCGCGTCTCGGCCGGGCCCCGGCGGCGCCTCGGGAGGGCGAGGGGGGCGGGCGAGACGGGGCCCTATTCACGGCGTCTCGGCCTGCCCCCCATCGGCTCGCGGGCGCGCCTGCCAGCGCCGCGTCGGCCGCGCGCGAGGGAAGCCGCGGGGCAGGCCAGAGCAGGCCCGCCGCGCTCTCAGCCGCGCGACGCCACGTTTCACCGGACACGCCACCGACGACGACGACGACGACGACGACGACGAGGAGGAAGATGAAAACGACAAGGAAGACGATGAGGGCAAAGACGAGTAGGAGGAGGAGCATGAAGAGAAGGACAATGAGGAGGAGGATAGAGCCCTCGAAATCACCTCTTGGAGTCCTCTGGGTCGCAACTCGGAGCTCACAACTCCGATGGCGCACGCTTGGCCCGAACCCCCCCTCTGCACTCCTGCGGCTGCCCTCCGGAGCTGCCACAAGCGCGAGCCAGGTGCGCCCCTGCAGTTTGGCCCCCTCTCTACTCCCACGTTGACGACTGAACACATATTCCGGGGGCCTTGCAGAAGCGCCTCGCCGCGTCGTTCATCAGCTTGCGCCTCGACCGCTGCTGCGCGAGCGCTGCTCGCCCTGTGATGCTGCGACTGAGGTCCCCGCCAAGGCTCGCCGCCCAGCGGGCCGCGGGCGCAGCGCAGCTTTTGCGCCGACTTGCTCTCGCCACCGCATGCGCGCCCTGGCCCGTAACCTCTGGAGCATCCTCCAAATCAGTGGCGGTCAGGGCCTCGATGTCGTCTCCCACGAGAGTCATGACCGCCGTTCGCCCCGAAAGCCTCGTGCACGCCACGGCGGCGACCTGCACTGTATAGTCTGCGAGCCCTCTCGGGCACGTAGTTATCAGCGCCTGGGCAACCCCATGCTCCACAAGATGGACAATAGATTCGAAGCCTTACACATTCGAGGGAGATTCTAAAACACCCCCACGCCCCCGACATCAATGTTGATCGCAACAAAATCGGTGCTTTGGGGTTCGAATAAGTCTGTCCACTCACGCCCACCCCCGTCGTCACGCCATCAATATTAATTTCGGGGGGTCTTGGGGGCATCTTGGGACACAGGGTTCGAATATAATATCCATGTGCGGTCCCGACACGATTGCTGAAACGAGACCAGAGCGACTCTAGTCGGCGGCGGACAAACCTCCCTTTCAGCAAACCACCCTTTAGTGAAAACGGCCTAAGACCGAAACCGAGGGACCTGGACCCGCAAAGATGACGGCCGCGACGCCCTCTCGCGAAGCGGAATCGGCCAGTATGCGAATCGTCGTGTCAGGGTAGGAGGTGTATTAAACTCCAATATAAGGAACGTCGAAGGCAGCTGCGCACCCATGAGCAAAAGGAACCATTTCACCATCGATGGTAGGGGCACACCCTCGGATTCCGTGAGAAGGACGCGCGGCCACGACCACGGAACTGAGCTTTAGTCTCTCCCCGGGCGATACTTACGCTAACAATCTCGGTCACAGCATCGCCCAGACGATCATGGGCAGCAAAATGCGAAAATCCCGCGTCGAGCATGCCAAATGACCTTCACCACCAGTCGTCTCGAACTCGTCGACATCAATCGCCTCGACAGCACGCGCCGCCACGTCATCAAGAAGCGTGAAGAGGAGCGGGCTGATGCTTCGAGCGGTACACCCCTGGCACGTTGAACAAGTAGATCTGCGCGAGCCCACTTGCGCAACTGTCGATACTATGTTCTTGCATCTTGGTCAACAAACCCGCACATAACCACTCCAAGACTCGTTGCCTCGAGTCATCGCCCCGTGTAATCAGACACCAGAAACGAGCACCAGCTTGTCGAAGGGCAAACCGTACACACTGGTGCCGACTCCTCTCACACCTGTGAGAGACAACCAGATCCGCGCGCTACCAATGCAGATCCCCCGCGAGCGCACCGCCAGGCGCGCCTTTCCACCTGGAACCGGGCCGACATGTCTGCGTACGCAAGCTGACATGCCCCTCTACTCTGACAGATCCAAACTGTCCACAAGCGCCCGGCTGCTCGCCCTCGAGCCGTCTTCAAGAGAGTGTCTCTGCGTCTTGCCTTCTTGCACGGCAGGATTTACTCCGAATGTCAGTCTGATTTGGGATTTGGGGGGTCTGATTTGAGCTGTCTTGGAGCGTTCCCAGGGGTCTGGGCAACATACCGCCCTTTCATGGCCGGTCTGGGGGGCGGGGTCTGAAATTGCTCGTCTGGGAGGACTGTGGCTACCCTCCTTTCTCATGACACTCGGAGTAACCATATCCATCGCCTGGGGAATCATGTGTCCAAGGATCCCAAGGGGCGTCGGATATGTTATGTTGGGGCCCGCTGGGACCCAGATATGAATGTCCGTATCCACCGCCGGCCGAGGTCCCCGAAGATCGATCCCCCACGCGGTGGCTACGTATGGAAACATCCCCGCCTCGGGCCTCTGAAGCTCTTGGCGGCCTGCGGGCGGCGACCAAAACCACTCCGAGACAGGGGGGAAGGAGGGAGGGAGGGAGGAGGGACGACTGAGGAGCGAGGATGGCAGAGCGCATCGGGAATGGGAAGGATGATGAGGTTGAGCGCGCTCAGGGGGGAGCAGGAAGACGAGGACTGCCCGCATCGAGACAACAAGGCTCCATGACGCGGGCAGGGGCCAAGTCAGGCGGTGCGGGGCCGCTCTCGGGGCAGAGGGATACTTACGATCGCCTCGTGGCAACGCTGCGAACTTGCAGGCATACGGAGGAGGGCGAAGGGGAGACAGACGAGACCACGCCTCGCAGGCGGAACACGGGCGGAGCCTGCGGGCACGCGGGCAGGCCGAGCCGGCCTCACAGCGAGGCGCCTTGGAAGCCACGGCCAACATCTTCCAGGCACCTGTAGATCACGTCGAACTTGAGGTGCTCCTTCACGAACCCGCTGAAGCCGGTGCCTCCGATCAGGATGGGGGCGGGAGCCGCGGGTATCTGCGCCGGGACCGTGAGGTAATGCCACATCAGGGGCAGAAATCGATCCAGCAGCAGGTTCCGAGCAGGCGCCCACTCCACGTTGAACTCCTTGCACGTCTCCATCAATGCCTGCTGCGACGCGATGTTGGCGAACCCTGACTTCTGGTACGGCAGCACGTGGTGCGCCCTGTGGCAGCCCAGGCCTGCGGTCAGGAAGATGTCGATGTGCGGGATCCCGGTAACGTACGTGTCGAGGGCGTGCTGCACCTGGAAGACGCCCCAGTCCAGCCCGGAGTATTCCTGCTCGTCTCGCGCCACTTCGAAGTCGTGCGAGGCCACGATCTGGAACATGTTCGTCCACACGGTGAAGAAGAACTGAAGGAACCATACAACAATGCCGCCGCAAAGGGCAGCCCAGAGCATCTCGGCGAGCATCATCCAGCGGATGACCCGCATCTCGTGAAAGAAGCTGTGCGCCTGGCCAGAGAACTCCTCCCACGACGTGGGCTGCATCAGGCTGATGTCGGAGAACCGAAGCAGGTGCCCGGTGAAGAACTCCCCAAACTTCTGCGCCGTGAAGATAGGGATGCGGAGCAAACGGGGGATGGTCGTCATGAAGTTGAAGACCGTGCGCTTGACGTCGGCAGGCGTTTCCGTGTACAGGTGATGAAGCATGACGTGGCCGTCGGCCAAGACCATGCTGGCCCCCACGTACTGGATGTCGAAAAAGCAGTCGAAGTAGTCGGTCATTCCGTCCTTTGCACGATGTATGTGGTAGTGCCCAACACCCGCCAGCGAGGTGCGAGTGATGACCTGCAAGACCACGATCAGCCATCCAGGCAACAGGCGCCAGTACACGGCTGGAAAGCACACGAACACGTGGAGCGCGAGGATGCACCACGCTGTGAAATCGAACCAATAATCGGCGGACCTGATCCGCTTCTGCATCTCGGGTGCATTGATCTTGCTCCGAAGGACCTTCATGAAAGGCTTGTCCCAGTCGTAGATCGGGACGTCCCGGCGGGCGTCAAAGGCTGGCGGCAGGATGAACGCCGGCGCGTTCATGTCTTTGACAAGCACGTCTCGCGGGTTCTCCTCCTCAACCTTCACCTCGTACTTCTGCAGAAACGGGGTCAGCTTGTCTGGATTGCGGTGATAGGCATGCACAGCTGCAGAGATGTCACGCTGAAAGGACACCGCAAAGAAGGCGTCGCCGCCAGGGTGGAGAAACTGCCACTCGGAGAAGTCGTATATCTTGCCATCTATGTAGTAGTGGCTTGCGTGCGGGCCCTTGTCCTTATCCTTGCCTTTGCCCTTGTCCTTATCCTTGCCTTTGCCCTTGCCTTTGCCCTCTGGATCCTCTGGGCCTCCTTTGCCCTTGCCCTTGCCTGCCACGCCCCCCATCTTGCGGACCCAACGAATACGCACGATCGCCCCCTAGCGCTTAAGCCAAAACGGATGCGGAGGAGAAGTGCCAGGAGGCACAAGGCTGGTTGAGCAACGACACGGCGTGGGCCAGGCAATTGGGCCGCGGCCCGCGTCCGCCAACTCGGGGTGTCCTCCGTGTCCTCCTCATCCGCCTCGTGCTCCCGATGTGTCTCCAAATGTCATTCTGACACTGTCGTGCATGATTTGCCTGCTCGATGACGACTGGCGGTCCTTCCCCCAACAGGCTCTGCAAGGGGGGGTCCCCCCGTCCCTTTGATGCAAGAGGGCCTGTGGCGAGTGGCATCCGAGGCAGGGCTCCCTCAGGGCCCACCCCACCCGGCTCCTCGAGGACGCCACCGCCCGCTGCCTGATGGCCTACTGAAGCACAGTGAGATGGCACGGTGTGCGAATAATACAATGCAGGATAGAGCAAAGCAATTCGATGCAAAGAAACACGATGCGATTCAGAGCAAGGCAAACCATGAAAACAGCACCACGTGATGCAGGACAAGGTATGGCAAGGCAATGCTACGATACGCAGTTCAGAGCCAAGAAAACATGCAGTGGCACACCATGCACTACAATGCGCTACAATGAACAGCAGAGCAAACCAATCCAAGTCAAGGCATTGCAGCGAAATGCCATGCAATACAACGCCTCATTATGTGTGACCAGTCGTTCCAGGTTCGTTCAGCTTGCTTGGTTTCAGCTCGTTCTGAGCTGCAACTGCACTGAGCTATATGATGAGATCCCCCAGCTCGTCTTTAATGTATATTGTAATGGTATGAGAGTCGTGCCCAGATCCGTACAGGCTCATCGCGGGCAGCCTGAAGCTGGCAGCCCAGCCCCTCAGAGACCGCACACATCAGGAGCTCAAATGTCGAGCCACCGTTCGTACATGTGCTGCCTTGGCGTCCACGTGCGTCCAACCCCGCAGTCAGAAACGCTGATACGCCAGCACCTATGATTTGGCTTGGCGGAGAGTGCGCATGAGGGGCAACGATAGGGAGGGACTGGCATAGGAGGGGATGCATCGACCTGGAATCGGCGATACATCGCCGATAGATCGGCGATAGGCCCCCGATAGTGAATCCGCACCTTCCCAGGCGGGTTGGGGCTATCGGGCCCCTAAAAGCGATTAATGAGCGATTGGGGGTCAATGCATCCCCCCCTATGCCTATCCCCCCCTATCTTTGCCCCTGAGCGCAGCAGACTGTCTGTGATCTGGCCGCCGGCTTCTTCGCCGGTGGGGCCTTGGGTGACACCTCGCCAGCAGGCGCACACTCTCAGGACGCGCACGGGCAACGTCCGGAAGAGATCCCAAGAAGCTGCAGACGCTCAAACCCGTAATGCGGCCAGCAGCATGGACAACTTGTGGTCTGCAGGCCTTGGAAGATTCGAGCACAACGGCGAGGAATCATATCTCTACGACGCTACGATCGGGAGCTTCGAGCGTATATCAGCTGCACGTAAGAGTGACCCTGGGCAAGAGTGGCCTTTGGTGCGCGGCTGTTGGGGGGCGCGAAGAGGCCAAACACAAGCGCGCAAGACGCTAAACTCGCACCGCACGCGGCGACCAGGGCATCCCAGTGGGCGCGCACCAAAGGTCACTCCGGCGAAGGGCCACTCTTACGCGTAGTCGAGTATAGCGTGTCGCTCCGCTCCGCAGGGCGGGAAGCTGGGAAGGGCTCGCGACGTTTGAAGGGGAACCGGGACACACAAATAAATACACACAAACAAAGACATCCCCCATAGGTTCCCATATGTTCTGGGTGTTTGTCTCCCCCCCCACTTCCCATATTTTCCCACATGTTCTGGGAATCGCCGATGAATTGTGTCTGTGTGTGTTTTTCCCCCTCCTGAACGCTGACGCTCGTGGACTGGGACGTGCTTGGCGCGCGCCGCGCCGGAGCGCGAGTTGGGCCAGAGCCGGCGGCGCGACGCACGCTGCGCCACGGCCCCTGGCCGAGTGCAGACGCATGCCCGCCGGCCCCCGCCTGCCAGGGGGGGAAATGCATGCGAGATCTCTGCAAGGACCGACCACAGCGAAGTCTCAAAACGCGCTGGCGTTTAGAACGAACAACGCGTTCAGCCCGACCGTTGCACGCTCTGGGGCGGGGGGCGACGCAGCAGTTCGATGCAATGCAAAGTGTGTGTTGAGGACGGGTGGTGAGGACGCAAGGCTCAAGTTGGGATTTGTTGGGCGGCGGGCGACCAGTGAAAACGGCAAAGGACGGGCCGCAGAGGCAATGACACAAGGGCACCCTAGATGAAGGCACGCATCCTCACTAGACGCGTTGGCTGTACGTGGCGCTGGCCGCCATCAGTCCCCACCAGTCTGCCTCGTCCCTCCTCGAAGTCCTCCCTGTAGGAGAGGGAGAGAGAGAGAGAGAGAGAGCCTGGAACCCATGCTGCTCCGCGAGCGCAACCAGTGTGTCCAGGTGCTCCACTGCTGGCCCCACGAACTCGTCGCCGTGGGTAGGGCCGGTCACAATCCAGTAGCCGAGCAGGGGGGGGAGGAGAAGGAGGAGGCGAAGGAGGACGAGGAGAAGGAGGAGGACCAAGTGGAGGACAGAGGAGTGGGGGAAAGAGGAGTGGAGGAAAGGCGTCAGGGCAGAGTGCGGATTACGACGACGACCGCACGGAAGACCCAGGGTGAGAGGAGGAGGAGGAGGAGGAGGAGGAAGATGAGGAGGAGGAGGAGGAGCGCCGAGGAGGACGAGGAGGAGAGCGAGAAGGAGGAGGAGGAGGAAGAGACAGAGGAGGAGGTAGAGGAGGGAGGAGCAGCAGAAGGAGACGCAAGCCCAGTGAGCCCCGCCGAGGGAGCGAGGGAGAGAAGGGAGAGCGCGGCAGGGGCTCTGGCAGCCGCGGGGAGGCGGTGGAGGACGAGGAGGCAGCAGAGCAGAGGGCAGGGGCGGAGGGAACGCGGAAGGAGGAGGGAGCGGGGAGGAGTACGGCGATGGAAAAGGCACGAAGAAGCCCTGCGCGCCCGAGGCCCGTCGGCGAGCGCGCGCTCACACACACACACACACACACACACAACCCACAACTCTCTCTCTCTCTCTCTCTCTCTCAAACCGTTGTCTCCGAGCAGGGGGATCTTGAGCTGGATCTTGGAGCCTGTCTCCGTCCCCGCATGCCCCGGCACGCATGTGGTCCCAGGAACTGCGCCCTACGACGATGAGAAGAGGATGCAGAGAGCGAGGGGAGG